AGCCTGATATTCATTTAATGTAAAATTCAGATAAAATTAGTCTCTAATATATTTAGTATGAAATGCAAGGATTCTTTTCAGTTAAATTCACTAATATCTTAACATGTCATGGCAAGATTATAATAGTCAATTTTCTTCTGGGAATTGTATTTCAGCTTTGCCCAAAAAATTTTTTAGGTCTAAATGCAGTATCCATTCTCATCCATTGAGACTGAATAAATGTCAGTCCAAAGAACACATGTTAGAGACTAATTTTATCTGAATTTTACATTAAATGAATATCAGGCTTGCAATGTCAAGAGAAATTCGGAATTTTTCAGTTCTGGTGTTCTCTTTGCAGACAGATAAATAACTGCTTCTCTGATTACAGGTAAAATTGCTTTTTGTGTATACGGAAGGCATCCATAGTGGTTTAACTTCCTCTTCTTGTTCAGAAGATGAGAAAATACACCGCTGTTTCCTTTTTCTGTACTTCCATTTCTTTGCTTTCTTTCCCCCGCGTAGGAGTGTCTTCTATTTTTCCATTATGCCCTATGGCCATGTAGGTGATATTTTCTGTATTTGGCAAGATAGCAGATATTCTACCCAAAAGGGTATTCATGTCATTGTCCCATTCTTTTTAGCTAGTTAGTTTGGTGTAGTGATTAAGAATGTTGGCCTGGAAACCAGGAGACTGTGCGTTCTAGTCCTTCTTTAGGTAATGAAAGCCTGCTGGGTGATTTTGCCCAGTCATTCTCTCTCAGCCCAATACACCTAACAGAGCTGTGGCCATGGGGAAACTAGGAGGAGGAAACAGTATTATGTATCTTTGTCACCTTGAGTTACTTGTGAAGTAAAAAAGGCAAAATACAAATCTAATAAATATTAAATAAATCTGGGAAGCTCAACAGAAAGTATACCAATGCTAAACCCCATCCTCATATTTCTTGAGTGATGAGAACTTTAAAAGGAGCAGGAATCCATTCACTTTCATCTCAAGGCTCCAATTTTCTTATTCAGCCAGTCACAAAGCCTAGTGATCTAGAAGCAGAACTAAAGATTGGTGTCACAGGAAAAATACAACAAGATGTACTACAGGTAAAAACTGACAGAACTCATTCCATATAATACCCAGATTCTAGTATTTGTAGAATCCATTTGAAGGATACAGAGAAAGGCAAAAGTTTTATTGGAAGAAAAAGTAAAATGGAAGCTTAAAATCTCTTCAAGCTCTCTTCCAGAGCTGATTGAATCGTCTCTAGACATTCTTTAGTCATTCTTTTAACATAAGAGCCAATTGCAGGTGCTTTTCAGGCTCAAAACCTTCAGGATACTTCATCCCCTGCTTTCTTCAAACTTCAAAGACACAATTTGCAGAGAATAGACAAGGTCATTCACATTAATGGCATTCAAACATGGCATCATTGATTGCTTTTATATTTTACAAGCATAGGTGACATGCTAACTATATGATAATGACACTCCTGTGGCTTCACTGCCTTCCAAAGCACTGGTAATTAAAAGCAAGAATAATATTTAACTGATCATATGACAAAAAAGTTCAGCCTAGCCTGTACAATTTTTTTTAGATATCGTGCACAGTACTCGGTGTCTCAATCAACTTCTTTGTTGACCTGGAACATCTTCGTAAAGACCAGTGGCATTCTCATTAGAAGTCAACTGAACAGTCACACTAATTTGTGTGGCTTTCTAAGTTTTCCCAAGGTTTTCATGCAAGGGGCTGCTACTTTAATTTCTATCTTATTCTTTGTTCTTTGGCTCTGTTCATTTTCTGTCTTAAGTTTAATTGTAATAAAGAATTGCAGAAGAGTGTCCAAGGTAAGAAACATTATTGTAGCAGTGTCTGAGGACTCCTTTCTTTTGAGCAAATTGAAGGAGTTGACCTACTTTGGATATCTCTGAAATACAAAGCAGAAGGAAGTTGATTGGTAAGCATTTCTACTGTGAACTCCTGTGCATTGTGAGTCACTGAAGGAAATAGAAAGAAGTGAAATATATTCAGGAATTAGAAAGTATAAGTTACATTTTATAGTTAGGAATTTGGTTGCTTTAAATGCTTCTGAATATTTATATTTATTTATATAGAGGCGCAGTGGTTAAATGCAGCACTGCAGGCTACTTCAGCTGACTGCAGTTCTGCAGTTAGGCTGTTCAAATCTCACCGGATCA